TGCGTAAGGAGCCCTCCTGGACCAAGTGGCCAGGACACGCCTGTCATAGTAGGAAGCTCAGACTTTCTCATTACAGCCTCAGTATTGCCCGGGAACCACAATGCCACCTCTGCCTCCCTCAGTGTGTAACACTGGCACTCCTAATGTGTGGCCACTTACTGGAATTCCTCAGAGAGGTCCTGAGACTCCAGGACCAGTGGGCTTGGGAGAAAGAAGGGCATTTTCCCCTGGTAACAGGAGTGACTACATAATTTGCAGGACCCAGGACAAAATAAAAATATGGGCCCCTCCTCAAAAAATTGCGAAGAATTGCAAGGCGGCAACAGCAGGAATAGTCAGCCAAGTTTGAGACCTTTCTGACCGCGGTTCCCTGTGTGACTGCACAGGTCACAGACCCAAGAAGCTGGCCCAGCCCAGGAACAGTACAGTCACAGCTTTGAGCATTTCTACATGCACTTTAAACACATTGTTTATTAAGTGCTCTTAACCCCAGTTTAATGATGAAGATTCTGAGGTTCTGAGAGGCTAAGTAACTTTCCTAAGGTCACACAGCCAGTAAGCCCTGCAGTCTGGATTCACACTCTGCTTGGGAACTGGAAAGCTCCAGCTCTGTTTCTAGGGCAAAGGGTAGGTAAATAAGTGTTCACATTTAACAAAGTCCATTGTTGGTAAACAATGCCTTCTTGTTCTGGAAGGAAGGGATGGGATCTTCCCTGATAAGCCTAGACTGCCCAGAGCCAGGAAGCACTGCCTAGAGCCCCAGGGCCTCTGTCTCTAAAAGTGCAGAACTGTTTCAAAAGGCTTAAAAGCCCTTTCCAGTGATCCAACCTTCAACTGCTTTAGCAGTCCCTCCTCCTCAGCCACAGGTGAGCTGCTTCCTGCTGAGTTGTTTGTATTCTCCCCTCCTTCCAAGAAAAATAGCTTTAAGGTGTTTCACAGCCTTTGCTTAAGACAGCTCCTCTCTACCCTGTCTCCAGACTGCCTGAGCGGCTCCCTCCCACCGAGCAACGCTTCACAAAACCGCCCTCGCACTGGAACTCTGGGTCTCCCACACCATCCCGCCTTGGGCCTGCCCTGGAGCAGTGCCCAGCACCAGCGGAGACAACGCAGGGTGGTGGGGGGAGTAAGGGAGGTGGCGGGTGGAGAGGGGGCTCCTGAAAGCTCACTGCAGAGCTGACCCTGGAAGCCTCCTAAGGGAGCTCTTCCACCCCTCGGGGCAAACTCTATGAGACATTAGAGGCTGTGAATGCTAAGGAAGAGGCTGAGCCCCAAGATCCATGGTGCCGAGGCCAAGTGGAGGGAGGCCACAGACACCGAGTGTCTCCCTGAGAAGGCAGCTGCCTCCAGATTGGAGCTGGTGACTGACACCCTCTGACCTATCTCAGGTTTTGCATGAATTAAAAAAATCACTGCTTTGTTTTCACGTTGTTGGTTTTTTTAAGGAAGATTGTTCCTGAGCTAACATCAGTGCCAATCTTCCTCTTTTATATGCGGGATGCCACCACAGCATGGCTTGATGAGCAGTGTGTAGGTCCATGCCTGGGATCCGAACCTGTGAACCCCAGGCCACCAAAACAGAGCATGTGAACTTAACTACTATGCCACCAGGCTGGCGCCTAGAATTAATATTATTTTTTGCTTCTACCTTTTTGTTTTTGGGGAAGATTGGCCCTGAGGTATCATCAGTGCTCATCTTCTTCTATTTTATATATGGGATAGCTACCACAGCACGGCTTGATAAGTGGTGTGTAGGTCCAGGCCCAAGATCCGCACTGGTGAACTCCGGGCCACTGAAGCAGAGTGTACAAACTTAACTGCTATGCTACCAGGCTGGCCCCAGAATTAACATTATTTTTAATGTCTGTATAGAAGTACTATAACTTATTTGTATAAATTCTTTTATCAGTGGAGATTTAGATTGCTTTACACTCATAAAATCTCTGGGCCGACTATCTCCTCATGCCCATTGAAGGGGATCAGAATATGCCACCTCAAAATATGCTACTTTGGCATCAGGATTATCTTGAGCTGAAGGCATTTGAGAAACAGCAGATGCAGGAAGGGCTCCCTGCCCTCCTCTTTTCTATCTAAAAGCAAGACATAAATTTCCCATGAGAAAGGTGCCCTCCCCATACCAGGAGATAGGGAGCCAACGCTGAGATGAATCTGTGCTGAGATGAATCTGTACAAACAAATCGTACTACAGCAATCCTTATCTTCCATTAGTTTCCCCCATATATTTACTTTCCCACAATTTACTGCCACTAGAAGCTCAAACTTCTTTTGTCTTGTCACATCTCCAAAATTTATCACTCTTTGTTAAAAATGGTAATATAAGCTCTTAGGTCTAATGGCTTCTTTGGGATTTTCACTTCATTTCTGTGAGGCCCTCCATATGCATGTGAAATAAACCTTTTTCGCTTGTTCATCTGTCTTTGTCAGTTTAATTTGTAGGGCCTCAGCCACTGAACATAAGAGAATAGAGGAAAAAGTTTTTTTCTCCCCTACACCATCTTTGTCCCCATATCCAATCATTTCCTTGGACTGAAATTGCCTGTCACTTTTTTTTTTTTTTTTTTTGAGGAAGATTAGCCCTGAGCTAACATTTGCTGCCAATCCTCCTCTTTTTGCTGAGGAAGACTGGTCCTGAGCTGACATCTGTGCCCATCTTCCTCTACTTTATACATGGGATGCCTGCCACAGCATGGCTTGCCAAGCAGTGCCATGTCCGCACCAAGGATCCAAACAGGCGAACCCCAGGCCGCCAAGGCAGAACATGCGCACTTAACTGCTGTGCCACCGGGTCAGCCCCTCCTGTTACACTTTTGACAATAATACTTATTGCCAAAGTGCACTTAAAAAGACTGTAGACCTATTCATGCCTACTATCAAGGTATGTGTAAGCATTCTGATGAGCCTAATAGTTTTCTTAGACCTAAATCCCACTGCTTTAGGAAGACTTCTACTTCCACACACATTCACCTCTTTTCCTTTTGTGGAATCCTTTCCACCTAGGGTCTGCAGCACTGTGCAGCTGAGCACTTCACTGTTCTTTTGTTAGAGAAGGAGAGAAGGGTGCGGGGAAGAGAGAGAGAGAGAGGGAGACAGACAGAAGACAGAGGGAAAGAAATTCCAGCTTCTATTTGTGCCTCGTCCTACACAAGACAGTAGAAACACAAATATGAATTAGACCAAGTCACCACCTTCCAAGTGGACATCTAAACCTTGCTGTTGTTACATGCATCTTGTAAGTAGCTGTGGGGTGGCATGGGGGATTAAAAAAATGGGTATAATTAGTCTCCTGCTTACAGTCTGACATAACAGCACTGGCACAGTAAATGGTGTCTGTTTATGAGTCTCTGGCACTAAATAATGAGAGGGGTGCTCAAATTTACACTCCTCTCAGCAGTTTGGGAATATAATTATAAAAGCAGAGTAAGTTTCCCAACTAAAAGTACCTCTTTTTTTTTTTTGTGAGGAAGATTGGCTCTGAGCTAACATCTGTTGCCAATCTTTCTCTTTTTTGCTTGAGGAAGATTAGCCCTGAGCTGACTTCTGTGCCAACCTTCCTCTATTTTGTATGTGGGATGCTACCACAGCATGGCTTGATGAGTGGTGTGTAGGTCTGTGCCTGGCATCTGGGCCCATGAACCCAAGGCCACTGAAGCAGAGCACTTGAGCTTAATCACTACACCACGGGGCCAGCCCCTAAAAGTACCACTTCTTACTCATCCCAGCAGCTACAGTATTTGGCCCACATAGAAGACACTAAGGAAAAGTCTGTTGAGTGATAGAGGAATGAATAAATGCATGAAGACAACTTACTACAAGCAAGGAAAAACTGAAATTTTAAATATTTACAATCTCCCCATATCTAAAGAGGGCAGATCCTCTTGAAGGTGCCTTTGTTTTGATGATGGGGTAGGGAAGTGTTTGGGAGAGGTTGATAGGCAATAAAAGGTCCTCTATTATAAAGAGAAAGAACAATCCAGGGAGACAGCTAGGAAGATGCGGGGAGGAGTTCATGACAAGAGCAGAGCATGGTTTGGAGACCTATGGAGAGATGAGGCAGCTGTGTGTGGGCACTCTTCTGTGTCTTCGCAGTTTGGTCAGCCCTCGTCTTTTGAATGTGGGAAGGCATCAAGCCAGACTCGGGGTGGGCACAGGGTAGGCGGGGGGACAGTGAGGGAGACCCAGGGTCATTTGTCTTTGCTCGCAGATTGTGTGTTAGCGGATCACGGAACAGAACTCTCTTGCTGAGTCAGAGCTGTTACTCGGTTGCCCATGGGGGAGAGGGGTGAACACTGATGAGTTGTGGGATTATAGCGGTGGGAAGGGGCAGAGATGACTTAATCTGGCTCCAGAAGGGGTGAGTTGTGGGGAAGTAGTTATTCTCAGCCCGTTTGCTCAGCCCACCGCCTGGCACCTAATAGGAGCTCGGAATGTATTTGCTGACTGATTGGATCGTACAGGATAAAGGAGGGAATGGATTATACCAATTGGTGAGTTGGGGGTTATTTCTCCCACCGTAGGGATAAAGAAACCGAGGCGTGAAGGAGCCTCAATCGTGGGTTCTTGGCGGTCAGGGCAGAGCCGACGCACCCCTCCGCACTCCGACTACCCCAGATCCCTCCTACAGCGGCTCGCACCTGGCACCCCAACCCCGCCCCATCCACTCCACACTTCCGGATTGCGCTCCGCCCGTCCGCGGGTACTTCCGGTTCCCTGCGCCGGAAGCTGCAGCCCATATCCGTGGGGCGATAAGTCCTCGCCGCGAGGGCCTGCAGAAGCAATCCTTGGGCCGAGCGACTGCGGGTCCAGGCGATAGCGGGCCCTTATTTCTCGGTTCATTACCGGACATTACACGGCAGCTATTTCCCTCGCAACGGCCTGAGGATGACGTCACTTCCGGGGCTTGCGCGGCCAGCGAAAGCCGGAAATGGCTCTAGTCTCACTTGGTGGCGGGGAGGAGTCGAGGTGGGTCTTCTCCGTGTTTCCGGGTTTGGCGCCGGAGTGTGGGGGAGTTTAAGAGAGATCGTGTCCTGAGTAGAGTTGCTGGATTTAGCAAATAAAAATAAAGGACGTTCAGTTAAATTGGAATTTCAGATAGACAATTTTTTAGTCTATGTCCAAAATGTTTTACGGTACATCCTTATATTAAGAAAACTCCTCTTTTATCTGAAATTCCAATTAAACTGGACGTCCTGTATTTTATCTGGCAACCTTAGCCTTGAGCGCCCCCCTGCCCTGGGCTCTGGTATCCAGTAGCAAGACTGGGATCCTCTAGGTCTGTGTCCGTTTGGGAAACAGGTACAAAGTTCGCCCAGGCTGTCAGAATCAGCCATTGCTAGATCCTGAGCCGCTTTTAGCTCCAAGTCTAGTGGGTCAGCCTCATGGGCCACCTGGCAAAAGCTGGGCCCATTTTAAGAGTTCTCATGGCGGCGCCCTCTGCGTTTCCTTTCACGGCTGGAGTTGGGCAACCTTGGTCTTCTGTTAGGGGAAAGCTGAGAATGATACAGGCTAAGTGGCCAAGGGCTAGAAGTGGCCAGGTTATTTGAGTGTGGGATAAAGTGGTGCTTGGGGCCCAGGTTTTTGTGTTAACAGTGGGCAGCTTCAGAGAGTCCCAGGATGTGAAGGGGAGAGCATTAGTCTTAATCTCATCCCACCTCTTGTTTTGCAGTGAGAGAAATGGAGCTGTCCCTGTGGTACAACTGGAGCCTAATTCCCAGTCTCCTTCCCCTGCTCTGTCCACACTCGCTGCTGCAGTCAGCTGGCAGCATTTATGGTGGGCATTTATTAAAGTAGATGCCTTTTCAGAGGTGAGCTTTTTGGTGTTGTCTCTAAAACACCTCTACAGCCTCCTGACCTTCACTCCAAGGCTTCTGTAGCCTTTATGCTGCCCAGTGGGGAAAATGACCGTTTGGCCTCAGCTGTGGGAGCCTGGCCTTTGCCTGCTCCAGCCTTTCGGCTCTCACCCCTCTGGGTGGTGTGACCCAAGATGTATTTTTTTATGTCACAGTCAAAAGTCCTGTTCTTGGCAGGGGTGGGTCTGGCCAGCCATGTAGGTAGAAGGGCATCCTTTTCTGTCCTGCAGATTCAGCCCCATGGTACATGGCCTCATGTGTTGTCTAGGGACTTCTCTAAGGCTCCACTATGAGCCAGACTTTGCTGCCACTTCTGATTTGAACCTGAACCTCTTGCTGGATTGGCCCTGAGTGCTAGGATTCCTCAGGCTGTGTGCCTTGAGGATGTGCTCTGGGCCTGCCTTTCAGTGGCCTGCAAGTCTACAGCCTCTCCACACAGACCTAGCCTCCCCAGGCTCCCCAGCCCAGACCCATGAGCTAATGAAATAGAGCAGGCTGGAGGTCACTGGGCTCAGGGTCAATTGGTGGGACAGCCAGCAGCCTTCTGGCAACAGAAGTGGTAAAGAGGCAAAGAAGGAGTGCCAGAAAGGGGCATTGCTCCTGGGTAGAGCTCAGAAGTGCAGGGGGTAGAAAAGGGTACAGGCGAGAGCCCAGTGATAGGACCCGTTCCCTCTGTGAATGATTAACTCTCAACCAAAGGGAGTGACCTAGGAGGAGGGCTTAGCTAACAGGACCTGTGGACTCAGGGCAGAGTATTCAGAGGGCTGGCGTATGACCTGCAGAAGAGGACGACATGACTGGGTGGCAGTCCTGGGCTCTGAGGACTGGAATGAGATCAGGCTGCTGTGGGCTTCAGGAAGTCTCCTTGGACTGGCAGATGGCCCATTCTTGCAGTAGCAGCTGTGGGGTCCACTGGCTCTGAGCCCTCAGAGGGGTGGCTGTGGGGGGCCTCTTCTCTGTGGCCTTGCAACAGCCTCACTAGTGGTTTCTTCCCCCTAGGCAGCCATGAGTGCCAGGTGGTGCTGAGAGCAGTGGGGCATGGCTGCAGCTCTGCAGATCCTGCCTCGTTTGGCCCGAGCTCCCTTGCGCCCACTGTTCTTGGGGGGCCCAGTGGCCCGGTTGGCCAGTGGCATGGCCCTGGCTGAGCAGGCGCGGCAGCTGTTTGAGAGCACTGTGGGTGCCGTGCTGCCAGGCCCCATGCTGCACCGGGCACTGTCCTTGGACCTTGACAGTGGGCAGCTGAAGGTGCGGGACCGGAGCTTTCAGCTGCGGCAAAACCTCTACCTGGTGGGCTTTGGCAAGGCTGTACTGGGCATGGCAGCTGCAGCCGAGGAGCTACTGGGCCAGCATCTCGTGCAGGGAGTGATCAGCGTTCCCAAGGGGATCCGTGCTGCCATGGAGCATGCTGGCAAGCAGTAAGGAGCGTCGAGGGGCTGCTCCCCCCGTCCATCTAGAGGGCAATGTGGGCCCATACTTAGGCTAGATTGGGGCCTCCCTCCCTTACCAGCCTCCCTTTTCTTCTGGGTCTGCCCTGGCTCATGGATGGGTGTCAGTGGGTGTCCTTGTGGGCCCCCTTCACCTGTATAGCTGGGAAATCAGGTAGGAGAGGAGCCCACCCCATCTCTTGCTCTCTGTTCTGTCTCTTTTCAGGGAAATGCTGCTGAAGCCACACAGCCGTATTCAAGTATTTGAGGGTGCAGAGGACAACCTGCCTGACCGTGATGCACTGCGGGCTGCACTGGCCATCCGGCAGCTGGCTGAAGGTCTCACAGCTGATGACCTGCTGCTTGTGCTCATCTCAGGTGTGGATGCCAGTCTGGCTCAGGCAGTTTAGGGTGGGGTTTCACATAGCAGGCCTGCAAGAGACTGTTGGTCTGAGCCTCCAGGGTCACAGAGCAAAGGAAGCAGTAAGGAGCCTGGATGGTTAACTCCTTGGTGGCCCTAGGTTGCTTGTCTGCTCTCCCCTGAGCCGTGGGGTCCTCCCCTCGCCTGACCTTGTTGGGTGACCATGAGAGGGCAAATAGGGAGCACCTAACGCAAGACCTCGTGAGGAAAATATCACTGCTGTTGCTGCTGTCTGCACCAATGTCACCTGGGGCTAGAACCCAGGTCTCCATGGAGCCCCTTCCTTGGTCCTCCACTGTCTCCTCCTGGTCTACCCCTAATCGAAGCTGTTAAGGAATAGTTCTTCCAGTGCCTGCCAGGATCTGGGCTACCTTATGGCTGGGTACAACTTCAGGTGCCAAGGGTGTGGTGACTGCACACGTTCACTGCATGTCCACACGGGGGCACTCTAACCCCACCTTTCCAGCACCCCCTTCCTTCCCTCTGGGCACTGCCTGCTTGCTTCCCTGGGTGGGAAAGTTCCTTGGCTGCCTCATCCTGTCTGCTCTATGTCTTCACTGTCTCTGTAGGAGGGGGCTCAGCCCTGCTGCCCGCCCCTATCCCACCTGTCACACTGGAGGAGAAGCAGACGCTCACTAAGCTGCTGGCGGCCCGAGGAGCCAACATCCAGGAGCTGAACACCATCCGGAAGGCCTTATCCCAGCTCAAGGGTGGGGGGCTGGCTCAGGCTGCCTACCCTGCCCAGGTACGTGGGTCGCTTTTTTCCCAGGCAGCCCTGGGCTGGGGGAGCTAGGCCCACGTATGCCAGGGAAAGGAAGGCCTAGAAGAGTACATAAAGGTTGGCAGGGACCTGGTATAGGAGTCCACAGGGTCGGCTGGGAGGGACCTCAGAGAGGGTGAAGAGGGGTCCACATGGCCAGGTGTTCTGTGAACCTGCTTAAGAGTGGTTAGAAATGGCTGAGAAAGTGCATTGGGTGGTGTGAGGGTGTGGATGCACGGGGGCAGTTTGTCCTCATGGGCTCTGGGGCGAGGACCAGGTGAAACTGAGCCTTGCCTCTGTGACCCCTCTTCAGGTGGTGAGCCTCATTCTGTCAGATGTGGTGGGGGACCCTATGGAGGTGATTGCCAGCGGTCCCACTGTGGCCAGTGTCCATAGTGTGCAAGATTGCCTGCACATCCTCAATCGCTATGGCCTTCGTGCTGCCCTGCCACGTTCTGTGAAAACTGTGCTAGCTCGGGCTGACTCTGACCCCCATGGGCCACATAGCTGTGGTCACGTCCTCAATGTGATCATTGGCTCCAATGCACTGGCACTGGCTGAGGCCCAGCGGCAGGCTGAGGCACTGGGATACCGGGCCATGGTGCTGAGCACAGCCATGCAGGGTGATGTAAAAAGTGTGGCTCAGTTCTACGCACTGCTGGTCCGAGTGGTTGGAGCCCACCTCACTCCACCTGGGCCTGGAACCTCTGTGGAGGAGGATGAACAACTCTATGAGCTGGCAGCCAAGCTCCAGCTCCCAGACCTGCAGCTGAAGGAGGCTCTGGAGGCTGTGGCAGGGGCTGGGAGCCCCGTCTGCCTGCTGGCTGGTGGTGAGCCCACAGTGCAATTGCAGGGCTCAGGCAAGGGTGGCCGAAACCAGGAACTGGCCCTGCGTGTTGGAGCAGAGCTTGGACAGTGGCCACTGGGGCCCATTGACGTGCTGTTTTTGAGTGGTGGCACGGATGGACAAGATGGGCCCACAGAGGCAGCTGGGGCCTGGGTCATGCCTGAGCTTGCCAGCCAGGCCACCACTGAGGGCCTGGATGTGGCTACTTTCCTAGCCCACAATGACTCACATACCTTCTTCAGCCGCTTCCAGGGCGGGGCACACCTGCTGCACACAGGGCTGACCGGCACCAATGTCATGGATGCCCACATCCTATTCCTGCGGCCACAGTGACAGCATAGGTCATGTTTTGGGAGTCCAGAGGAGGCCTACAGGGCAGTATCCTGGGGCAGAGCAGGGTTGGTCCCCAGGGCCTCACCAGGCCTTAGGGCTCCTCCTCTGCTTGGCCCTGGCTGCTTTGTTGGCCCTCACACTTCCCACCCAGGGCCTCTTCTCTGTGTCCCTTTCCCCAACCAGACTGGCAGGTGGGGCCTCTCTTCTACCCCTACTTTTCACCATGGCAGCAGGTACCCCTGAGCACCGGGATGAACCTCTTGTTCACTATTGTGGATTGTTTCCCCCAGGCAGCACCTCTGCCGAGCTCCTGAACTTGTTTTTTCTGTTGTGTGAAGCAAGAAGGACTGAAAATAAAAAGGACCACACTGGGTTCTCAGTGCACTTACCCTCAAAGCAAAGCCTCCCGGGAGCTTCTGGGAAGGGGAGAGAGGTTGGGCTATGGCCCCAGCACCAGGACCCTACAGGAGTTCCCCACACCCCTCTCTGCAGGGCACCCTCAGCACTTGTTTCACTTAAACAGGAGCATGGGAGGGTTGAGCCTGGCTCCCAACATGCTTGATGTGGGCACGCGGAGACCCCAGGGAGGACAGGCCTAAAGACTGGTCTGTGGGGTTTGGAGGGACTGGCTGGCCATCCCCCTGTGATTCTTGCCTGTGACATCCCTGCTGTGGTCTCTCCAGCCTCAACTGTATGCCTCGCTGGGCGCATGCTGACTACCTGCCACCGAGGATGTCCCTCCTTTCTGTCCAAAGAAGACAGCCCTTAGCCTCAGACTGCACATTCTATGGTTGAGCTGCCCTCTGTTTATCCAGGGGCTACCCCCAGCCACACAGGATGCTGGACCTTATTTCCTTGTGGCAGGCCCATTTTCCCAAAATGAACACCCCCCCAGTTCCTTCAGCAGCTCCTCTGGGGACCCAGTCCGGTTCCTGGTGCCAGCCTTGCAGTGGGAGTCTCCAGTGCTGTGATGGTATGTCAGCACAGTGTTGGGGTCCAGGAGCCCCCTGCCCCTCCCCCTGTTAAAGCTGGCCAGGGAAGAGGCCAATGGAGAGGAAGGGCTCTTTGTCTAGGCTAGTAGCCTGCTCTGAGAGAGGGAGGGGCTACTGTTCTGGCTCTCCTTGGGCCCCCTTGCTCAGTATCCGAGCCCTCCGCTGGCCACCCCCGCCGTGCGCCACGGCTCCAATCCCTATATGAGTGAGCAGTAGAATCACATAGGAATAAAAAGCCATAGAGAACAGCGAGGCCTGGGGCTGCTCCTGCTGGCCCCTCTTCCACCCCAGCCGCCCCCTCCTCTCCGAGGGTATGAGGGGCTCTGGGCCAGGGCTGGCATGCCCTCCCCCTGGGAAGAGCCTCCCTTCCCCACTTGGGCTCTGGACAGCCCAGCTTGCAGACAGTTCATGCCCTGGGGATATGGCTCACACTCCTTGGGCTGGGGATTGGGAGGGAGGTAAACAAGGTGAGCAGGGCCGGGGAGATTTAGGGAAGAGGGGAGTTTGCACCCCTCTGTGATGCAGGGGCACTACTTCCTTTCCTCTGTCCTGGCATGGAGTTTTCACTGACCAGACGTCATAGTAGGGGATATTGTCCCCACATGGCAGTGCCTGGGTCCTGGTGCTCCTCTGGCAACCTTTAGATATTCCTTGAGTCTGCTTCAGGGCTTCCCTTGGGAGCATGAGTATTAACACTAGGTGTCAAGTTCCAGGCAAAGCAGAATAGGGCTGTGGCTGTAGTAGAGGACCTGTCTGCCATGTCCCCAGTGTGTGCGTGCGTGTGTGTGGTGGCATGTAAGCACACAGATGTTGGTGTTGGCATATGAGGAGGAGGAATGCATGTGTGTGTACCTGTAGATGTGCTGCTGCTTGTGTACATGGCTGCTTACAGGCTGTGAGGGGTTTGGGCGTGGATGGGGTCTTGCCAGATGCTCCATGTGCCACCTTGGCCCTGCCCTGTGCCTGTGTCTGTGGGCGCTGGGAGACCAGGGGCTGGACTGGGCCTAACCCATTAGATTTGCTCACTTGGTACCCCGAGATGAGAAAGGATATATTTGGCTGTAATCTAGATGAAAATATGAGATAAACCCTACATGGCGAGTGTTCAATGAGACTTATGATTTGCTCCATAAATGTCAACCATGGGTCATTAAAGCACTGCTCTCCTGTGGCTCTTGGCTCTGTCTTTCCTGGCTCGAGTTCCTGCTGCCCTTGTGCCCACCTCGTCTCCACTCCCTGAAGCTTTCCCTGGCTCGGCTGGAGGCTTTCCCCATGTAGGGTGCCTGGTCCTCCCTGACTGCTGCCACCCTCACGGGCCTCTCTGTTCTTTGCACTTGGCATGAACTGAGAGCAGCTGGGCAGTGGGCCTGGACAGCCCCTAGGTGTCAGCTACTCCAAGCCCCTTTGTTTTATAGCTAGAGAAACAGGGAAGGGTCGCTTGCCTGGGGCTGCAGAGCAAGTCAGCCACAGAATCAGGATGAGGACCTGGTTGGGACATACATGACCACCCTCTGCCCGCCCTTTGGGGCTCAGAGACCCTGGGGCCCAGCGAGGGCTCAGCCAGAGCTGGGGGATCCACTCCTGCCTCCCTGCTGCCTCTGGAAAGCTTGGGGATGGTGACATGACCACACTTGGCCTCTCCGGGGATCTATAAAACAGATTTGTCAGTCCCTTCTTGGCTCAGATTTCACAGCTCCATTGTGTGTGTGATTTGGTAGAAAACCATGTGCAGTTGGGTGGTGGGCTTCTATAGAAAAGTGTGTGCCTGCATCTGTATGCATGTCTGTGTGTGTGCATGGGACGTGTGTGTATGTGTGTGTCCATTCAACCCACAACCAGTCACTGAGTTGGCCTCTGAGCTGTGCTCTGCTCCACCCCAAGGTGCGGAAACACAGTTTGGTGTGGTTATAATGTTGGGGACATGGTGAAGCAAATTGTGCAAAGAGGCCATAATTGCTGGCAGAGACCCGCTGGCAAAGGGCCTTGTGTGCCTGGCCGAGGAGGTCAGACCTCACATGGACCGCAGTGGCAAGCCTCATGAGAATTTTTGACAGGGAGTGATGCCAGGAGGCTGTTTTGAGACTTTGATGCTGAGGCCGTTTTTACTGTAGGGGCAGGGGTTGGGGGAGGCAAGGATGTGGAGCGGGTGTTGCAGATGTGAGAGGTACATCACTGGGCTTGGGAACCCCCTCTCACCTCCTGCTGCCTGCTCCTCAGCAGCCTCATCCCCATAGCCTTCAGCCAGCCCAGGCAACCCTTTAGATGCCCACTTTGGAACCATGGCTGGAAGCCCTGGCTGAAATGCCCCTGGGAGTAACCTAGCCCCTCTCTCCCTGGGAATGCCATCAAGGCCTTGAGGATATGGGGACAGAGAGGCTGGGCAGCTGGAGGGTGCTTTGGTGAGCATAGGCACCCTATGTGGGCTGTCACCAGGGTGGCAGTTAAGAGACCTGAAAGGAGCACTGGAGAGGGAGTTGGGTCCCAGGCCTTTATCCTGGCCTTGCCACCTTCCTTTCTCCAGGCCTCAGTTTTCTCCCCTGTCTAATGGGGACAACATCCTTGTCCTGCTCACTTTCCTGGGGAGGTGTCAGCTGCAGATGGATCTGGGCAGGAAAGCTCTATGGAAGTGGGGGCTCAGGGAGGGAGGGAGAGAAAGGAGAACTGCTGGCCTCTTCCAAGGTGAAGCTTAGGGAGCTCTTGGCTCAGGGAGGCCCTCTTCTTCCAGCCAGGGCCAGGGTTGGAGCCAGCAAGCCCTTGGTGCTCGCTGAGGCCGAGCGAGTGACTGCTGCCCTTTGGCACTGGATTGGTACCAGAAGGGAGTGGTATTTGAGTCTTTAATGGCAGGCAGGGTGCATGGTGCCCTGGGGGGTCACAGAGCCAATGGGGGGTCAGCTGGAGCTAGAGTAAGCTGTCCCAGCCTTGGAGAGAGCCTCCTCATGTTTCAGAAAAATGGGTAGAGTAGCCTGTCTCCCTCTGGATCTGGATCATGTGTGAGGGACATGATGAGGCCCAGACTGGGGTTGAGGAGAACCAGCTTGACCCTAGGCCAGGAATCCCTAGCTGGGTGAGAGGATTCAGCGTGTGCTAGGGGAAGAGAGGGTTGTGTAGGGGTAGGGGGACACTGACACACTGAATGGTGGGGAAGCCAATGGCCTTAGGCAGCTGCTGCATGGAAGATAGGGCCACAGTACTATAGGGAGCTGTGCCTATGCTGGAAAGCATGGCCTTTCTCCCTGAGACAGGGATGTCTGAGGGTCAGCTCCTCCTGGGGTAACCATTGGGGCCAGTCCTAAGGCTTTTCTCTCCCACTTCCCCTGACTCAGGCTGCCCTTATACCCGTAAAGATTGAATGGGGTGCATTTGGGGTGGACCACCTCAGCCCTTGACACTCAGAGCCTGCGGTTCTGATTCTACCTCTGTACACCTTGCTCCATCTGGGAGGGGTTGCTGCCTGCTCACATGCCAGGGAAGAGAGTAAGGGAGAGTTGGCCCCCAGAAACAAGTGTTCCACCTACCCAGTTCTAGGGGGATAAATGCCCTTATCAGCTCTGCCTCCTGGGATCACTACCCACCATGATCTTATCCTGGCTCCCTGGGGGTTCAGGGAGCTGGAGGCCCTGGCCCTGCCCTGGCCGGATAGCCAGGGGCTGGCCCCCCAAGATACACTACATTGGGAAGTTCCCTCTTGGTCTCCCCATACTTCCAGCCTTTCCTTCCCCTCCTCTGGCAGCCAGCAGAGCCATCCTGCTTGCCTCTCTGGGGGTGTGAGCAGCACACTGTCTCCATCCAGCCCTGCCTCTCCATCGCCAGCTCCAGCTGAGAAGGGGGTGGGGCCCTGGCACTGGCTTCACCTCCCTGCCCAGCTTCAGGGTCTCAGGATCTCCTTGTAGCCTGTAGCCCTGGGTCATCTCCAGTAATCCCACTTGTAGCCTCACTCAAGTGCCAGGGCTCTGTCTCCACCTGTTCTCCCCACTTCTCCCCCCAAATTCCTCCTTGTCCAGCTCAATTCACCCAGGAAGCTGACTGCAGTAACATCTGGGCTCTGGCTTGAATCTGTACTGTTTGCAACTCCGGGTAAAGCTGTCCTGGAGATTCTATCTGGGGGGAGCTGGACAGAGATCCCTAGGGGAGGGAGAAGTGCCCCTCCCCCCATGTGGCTCTGTGGGTCTGGCAGTCAGTAGCTTGGGGTGAAAGCAGCCAGCCAGAGGGCAGGTCTCACCTCCTTTGCCCACACCCCCTGACTGGACAGTGAGCAGCCCAGCACATCTCTGACCAGCAACAAAAACCCCACCAGGGACAGGCACTTGTAGGGGTCACAGCCTCATGGACAGCGCTGCTGCCGCCACCTGGCAACCTCGCAGCTGCAGCCCAGCCAGAGGCAGGGTTCAGAGCCCTGGACTTCAGGACTGGTCATACACTCAAACCTTCAAGGGTGGCTGTTCCGGGCAGCCCAGCCTCCGCCCACCCAGTTGGGTTCCCTGAGGGTCTCCCTCAGCCCAGGGCCACCCACAGAAGCCAGGCACCAGGGCAGGGACAGAACCTGCCAGCGCCCAACCAGCTTTGCCCTCCGCAGCCAACTGCCCTCCCATCCTGCTGACCACTGGGACATCTGAAGCTGGCACTCTGACTGCTGCTCCCACCGCCCCGGGCAGAGAAGCGGTCACAGCCAGACTGCCCACTCTCCCCACCTGCCCGCCCCCCAGAGCTCCGGCTGCCCGCGCCTGGTGTCCCAGCTCTCCCAGCTCACCTCGGTGGCGCTGTCTCCTCACCAGAGGCACTGCAGTGTGAGAAGTGTCCCAAGGAGCCGGTTCTCAGCTGAAACAAAGAGGTGGGGGAGAAAGAGGGGGGCAGCGGGAGAGGGAGAGGGTGAGTGAGCGGGCGAAGGAGTGGAGGCTGGAGGGGGAAGAGAGAGGGAGAGGATGAGAGAGAAGAGGGAGGGGAGGAGAACGTGCCCAGAGATAAAGCCTGACTCTCAGCGACTGAAGGGCCAAGAAAGGAGGGGAGAGGAAATGGGGAGGGGGTGGAGGAGGTGAGGGACCAGACCAGGAGAGGAGAGATTGTTAGGGGGCGGACACGGGGCAAGTGAGGGGCGTGGACAGAAGAGGGAGCTGTGTGGGGGGCAGGGCTGCGGGGGGTGGGGGGCAGACAGCCCAGCTTGGCTGGGGGGCGGGGCTGGGGGTGGGCAGAGAGGTTGCACCTCTGCCCCACACCAGGCTCTGGTGCTTGAGTGGGCAAAGGCCACGAAGGAGAATGGGAGGGAGAGGCGAGCAGCCAGGCAAGGGGTAAGGCGCTGGGCTGGTGGGCTGGCTGGGAGGACAGGGCCCAGGGACAAAGGCAGAGAAGAACAAAGGTGTCCCAATGGAGGAATCAGCCCCTGCTGACCTCTGGGGGCTGCAATCTGGAGTGTCCTGAACAGCGTCTCCTGAATGGAAGGCAGGTCCTCTCTGGGGCGATTCTGGCTCTGAAGTCGCAGCCTGAGGTCAAAGGGAGAGGGGATGGGCTGTGAGAGTGGGTAGGGGTCCCATTCATCCCGCGAGAGCTCAGAACACACCGTAGTTGACCACACATCAGGATGCTGGTGTCCCTGTCTCTTTGCGGGAGGGGATGGTGACAGAGTCCAAAGCCTGGACTGAGAACTGGGTAGGGGAAGTCCCCTTTTAGAGAAGAGCATTTGGGGCCCCCAGGGAGGAGGGGAGGATGGTGGGTGCAGTGAGGAGGGGGAGGAGTGAGGATAAAGGGAGCAGGGAAGCAGGGAATAGGGAGGGTATGAGGTGGGAAGGAGGCTCCAAGGAGGGTCCAGAGCCACAGCCCCTTAGCAGCCCCATCTAAAGCAGAGACCTCCCTCTCCACACCCCACACTTCTTGGGCTGCCTAACACAGACCTAACGAAGGATGGAATAATGAACCGCTGCCCTGCTGCTGCCCTCCTGCTGCCAGGTGCTGCTGTGATAGAGAAGGGCACCAGGGAAGGCAGCTGGGGTTGCTGGGGCACAGGTCTGTGTTAGTGCTGCCAGGGGGGGCAGGGGTGGTAGGTGGCCTTGACCAAGCTGTCCCATCCCTCTTGTCCCAGCACAGTGCCCTGGGCTGGTCCAGTCTCCTCTCATGCTCAGAGGCACAGGAGGCCCTCCTAAGCCTTCTGACCAAGGGAAGTTCCTCTTCTTGTCCCGCTGG